TGATGAGTCTAACCTTTTGATTGACGTCCGGCTAGTAATTGAGCGTTTCTGACCACTGAGCCAATGGTTTCAGCTTGTCATGTGGCATCCGATTTTAGTCGCACACTACAAAAGAATAGGAAAAAATGTTGTTCTTGTTGCGAAAAAATGCTCTGACAACGCCGACAAGTTCACGCCTGCGACTTCGCATGTCGAACTCATGGAGAATCCATGGGTCCAGGTCCACCTTTCCTGATATCAATACTATACATTGTCATCCCGCCAGTAGTCAGCAGCATGTGAGTTTTATGTCACCAACCCCTTTATTTAAGAGTAATCAAGACGCAATCACGTGAGCCTTTCTTTCATTTCAACGATCGAGATCGTCACGGTTCAGTTTTCGGAAACAGTATTCAAGGGTTCCTTTAGCATTTCCTTGGCTCCATACTGCAGTGAAGTGTACGTTCTACCAAGTCGTATTTGAATGTGAGCATACCTTTGATTTTTGACAAGTATTTTACCCTGGAAGTATGAGACCAGCAAGTATGACTAATCTGTTAGTACATTCAAGTTCGGTCGAGAATGCAACAGAAAACACCTCGTTCTTTCCAAGCTTTATTGGTGAGCTTTCGCTGATGTAACAGCTTCCTCAGACCTATAAAATGTTACAAGCATATCACAATCAAACAGCCTTTACAATAATTATAGCAAACGATAACTAACTGACCAGGCGGCTACTTTCAATTAAAGAATTCTGCAAACAACTACTTGAGACTGCAAAGTTAAGCTACAATCCGAACTAACACAATTGGCGACAATAGAATGATGACACCTTACCCTAGGACAGTCGCTAACCAAATGAAAAGTACTCAGAAATGAGCAGTACGTGACTCTTTTCACTGTGCTCGCATATATCCACAGTTAAGCTTATGAGTTCCATTGCTTCTTCCCTGTTCTTTATTTTTAGGATAAAAACGCTTGATAGCGAGTGCCTCTGGCAGTTTTATTTTTTCTCCGAGCGGTGGAGTACTTTATGGTAGGGGGCGATTCTTGTTCGTTCGGTAACGTGTACGATGTCGCGGAATACCGCTGTTCGCATATGACGAAGGTTTCTCAGCGCCAGTACATGTTCACTAATCCTTTTGTATAGCGGCCTCCTGGTTTCTCCAACGTAATTTCAATGCGTAACACTATCACAATGATCCAAAAGACGGTCCCTTGAACTACAGATCTCTACCGGCGGTACCAGCGTTTCTTGCCGACCACCCACTGCTTTATCTAGAGCCTCGATGAGATAAGCAAGCCTTTGATTTCCCTTGGTGGGCAAAACAGCAGGCTTACGGAGAGGTTCGCCGACTTTGTGTTCCGATCCGCTTTCTTTGCTATGTCCTAGTTCAAATACGGTAGTGTCATTGGTATTTCCTCCACAGTAAGGAAAGATCTCCATCCAGACTCAAGAGAATCGCTTACGAAACGCCGATACATAGACGATGTATTTGTGATTGGCTCCACCTCCGCAATGCACACGATGCTTCAAAATGAACTCGTGAGATCCGAATATACGCTTTACGGTGGAGTATCCAGATGAGTGCGGTTTTCTCCCGTTCCTTAATACAAAGGTCGTGTCATCCATCGCACTGAGGGTTTGTAATTGTATAAAACAACGCATGTGTCATTATTTTACATTCTCTTGTCAGTGCTCAATCCACTATATACTAAGGAAACGGATATGGATCATACGCCTACACGCAAAGAACAACACTTGCACCTTGAGAGTACAGAAGTGGAGCGAAGCACTCCTAGAATACTGGAAGAGAAACGGCTACACCACGTGTGAACCAAGAGATCACGGCGTCCTCTCTCTACTGTTGGAGGAATACCGCTGTTACTACCGTATTTGAACGAGGGCATCGCAATTTATGAACTCAGCAATCCTTCTCGTAAAGTTAATGTTCTGCTACTACTCAAACGGAAACATCAACATAGCTCGCTACGTCATCGAAGCCTAGGAAAGAATGCGATCCGAAGAAAACGCTCGGCCACGAATAAAAAATCGCCCAGTTACAAAGGAACGGTTATCTGATCCACTTAGGTGAATGTACGAATCTCATCATAATACGCCTTGGACCGAAACCCAGCAGGCTGGCTATACACCCGAGGCTTTAACATTTAAAGCGTGAGAAACCCTTCATCACATATCTCAACAGCGTTTTTCGAAACTTTTCGAATCGTACACTTTTACCACGATAAGAACACCTCCTGGCCATAAATCCCCCTCACCCGTATCCTAACTGCTCGAAGGATGTATCCTTAAAAAGGAAACAGCTAGAGGCACTCGCCACCAAGCGACTGTTTCCAAAAATAAACAACAGGGAAGAAGCAATGAAACTCATAACTTAACTGTGGATATATGCGAGAACTGTGGAAAGGGTCAGGTACTCTCAACTCTGAGTAACTCTTCATCCTGTTATCGGTGGCGACTGCCTATGGGGTATCGACGTCATTCATTCTAGATGTCGCACATGTATTGTTCAAACGATACGCTTAACCTTTCATGTCTCAAGTCTGTATGCAGCCGAGAATCGCTTGATTGAGAACGTAAGCCCGCACGCTCACGTCTGTCGGTGCTCGTCATAATGATAAAGCTGTTCTGTTATTAAATCACGCTGTAAACATTTAAGGCCCTTAGATAAGCTGTCCTTCGGCGAAAAACTACCAGTAAGCCTAGGATATCAAACATGTTTTGATGCATTTCCACCGAACTATAAAATTCACAGAACTTCTCGCCCGTTGCAAAATCGCAACTTAACCGCGAACAAAGCGATCCATCGTTAATTCGATGATTTTCAAACTCGGTTCAAAATACGAGCTTTCGAGAATCCGAAGATATCTTTGAATTCAGCTCGTCGGACACTATAAGAATGCTTTGATACTTTGGAAAAGCTCCATATAGGATTGCGCCATGCACTCGATTTTCATCTCAAAAAGTAGTTGCTCGCATGTGATGTGTATATAATCCCGCTTATGCGGGCTAACCGCTACACACAAAGAAGGGCCTCAAAACTTACCCCAGAATGCGCCACGTACTCAATCTCATCCACTACATTGTGAGATTAGATGAATGTTATTTTCCGAATTCTTAGATCTTCATTTCGTTTTTAAGCGCTTACTGGCTTTACGTGTTCCCTCTGCTGTCAATATCCCATCCCTGCTATACATCTAAATTGGAATCTCTTGAAACAAACAGTCTCAGCAGGCAACTACGTGCGCTATAAATGGTACAATCCACAAGGTTTAGAAGAGCAATGTTTTGCAGCACCAAGCTCGTGAAGACAGAGGAACAACTTCTCCTCACATCCGTAGACTACCTGTCACTTTTCCTCGTAGGCAGTCATATTGGAAACTCTTGTCCGCAGCTTGATCGTTCCTTCCGCCGCTGGTGTCACCTAAGAACATTAACCTGCTTGTCCATGCCACTTATACCCCCCATTAAACGTGCACAAGTCCCATTTTTAGAGGAATGTCTTGTAGAAAGCTGTGAAGGATGCGAAGAATTTCCTCAACTGTCTATGGTCACTTGTCTGTAGGAATTATGTGGAAAACTCGGTCGCAAGTAAGCGTTCCTTCCGTGGTGTGGATCATGCCTCTCCTCCGCTTCATCCCCCTTCCTTGGAAAGTTCAGATTTTCCTGCATTATCCAAACGCTCAAACCCCTTGGACACCGCTGACAAGGTCCCTGAAATGTGCCCCGTTAGCTTCCCCGTAAAAATGCTATCGAATGATATGCATTACTTCCCCAGTTGAAACTTTGGTTTTTCACCGTTTTCAGCCTTCCCCTATTGCCGGATTGGGCACTATCCCACGATTACTGCCCCAAAATCTCAAAGTTTCATTTTTCGTCGAAACTTTGTCTATTGGGGTAATTCGATGCCCTGATTACGAATATGACATTCATTTTTGACGCCCGCGTCAATTCGGCTACCATTGGCCGCTTTGGACTCCAACTTTCGTGCTCCACTTTGGCGCACGCGCTGTCTTCACCACACTGCTGAAACATCGTCACTTTGGGTCTATTCTAGGCCTCGACATACCGAAAACCGACACCCGTTTCTCGGCGGCTCGGCGCAAATTCGCGTCTCACGCGTCGATTTTCCCACCCAAATCCACCTGAAAACGTGTGTATAGTATACTTCAGGTCACCTGAATTGCACGAATATAACATCAGTCATCGACGGCCCGCGCCGCCATTTGGTCACATCAAGCATCACTCCACATCCAGCAGCGTACTTAACGCACCTTTTTCCGAGCGCCCGACTGTCAGACGATCAATAAACGAGTGCCCATGTCGCAATTCAAGGCAGCTTTTTCCAAAGTATCAAAGCAAATTCTTATAGTGTCCGACGAGCTGAATTCAAAGATATCTTCGGATTCTCGAAAGCTCAATTTTGAACCGAGTTATAACGAATTCACGAAATTAACGAGGATTCGCGTTATTCGCGTGAATTTTCGATTTCAAACGGCGAGTACTGTACTAGTAGATTAGTCATACTTGCTGGTCTGATGCTTCCATACCTAGGCTAAAAAATTTGTCAAGAATTAAAGGTTTGCTCACATTTAAATATACGACTTGGTAGAACGCGAACTGTCTACGAGTACAATACTCGCCAAAGGAATTGTTGCCAAAATGCACAAAGAAGAGGCAGCCTCGTAAGACTGAATTCCCGAACATCCTGATACATTTTTTTCACATCAGGCAGGTCGGCCAAAATAGAGGCTGGCATACTCGTATGCTAAAATGCCAAAATTCCCTATTGCTCCTTAATAAACTATGTGACCATTTCTGACTGGTAGATAGTTGCTTATTACTTTACTTATACCCCATTTACTGCTGAGAGCGCCGGCTGAATTGAGATGTCATATTGAGATTTTCCTTTTCATGCACAGCATACATCGCGGTAGAGCATCGCAAACATACGGTTTTCCGTTACTACCACTTTTAATTTCGTCTTCCATATTCTGCTTTATAGGTGCTCAACAACCACGCTGCACTCATATAAGTATTGGAAGATTAGGAATAGATGAACCAATAGAATCGTTTCCTCAGAAATGACGCTTGCGTGAAAGTAGAAGCCCACCTTGAGTAGCTGTGAATGGAGTCGTCGAGTTTGCTCAGACATAATCATATTTGTCCCAAGGATGGAAATAATACGTTTCCTGAGAATAGCAATAGCAAAGTAAACGGGAAAAGGTTGCAAAGCCAAGTGAAGGTTAGGAATTAGCGTTTTCCAGTGAAGTATATTGAGATGAATGTTAACGCATTCCAAACTCGCTCTATGGTCAGAGGTTTGCTTTGGTATGGAGCTCACGTCTGTTGCATCTTTCGTTGAAACACAAACCATCACCTGCAAACATGAGTAACTCTCCGTCTTTCCTTGGGACAGTGGAAATCTTGAAGGTATCACAAGCTTACTGAACGACTTTTCCTATCTACGCAGAATAAACTTTGGGTAGTTCGTGATTTCTGATTCACATTACACTTAGTGCCAAGTTTTTGGAGAAAATTTCAAATTTTTAGATTCAAGTCTTGAGATCTCATCATGGCTTTCATGCTTTCAGTGCCAACAAGATGGCAGCAAAGAGACTTTCTCTCGAAGAAGGAATGATTTGAAAACACGGAATTGAACTTGGCATGCTGAGGGCCCATCAGTTGCACATGCGATCCCACATAGTGATGATCCTGTTGGTTTCTCACCGCCTCACAGATTGACCATCTAGCATCTCACCTGAGATGTGGAAACTAGGCATAAAACAATCTTGAAAAAGCCCCAGCCCTGCCTCAGGCTTGGGAGATCTAACTTCCAAAAAACCATCATTATCCGACTCAAAATCTTTCAAGCTTTGGACTACGAGAGAAGCTTTGCACTGGGAACTTTCACTTCCAAAGCCAACGTCAGTGCGGAGGTAAACAATCAAGAACTTGATCGCAAGCCTCCAAGCTGGAAAAATGAGGAAGAGTCTACACATCTAAGGTATCACTTGCTCTAAGAATGGAACAGTGGAAGAAGTGGCATTCTCCGTCGAGAATATTCCTCGCGCTACTCCACAATATCTCAAAGTTGACAATCGATTCCTTCGTGACTAGGAGTGCATAAAACACGGGGAGTCCTACACATGCAAAACAATGTCGATAATGATGGTGGATACTTTTAAGAATAACCAGTAAACAAGAACAGGTTTTGAATGGGAAAAGAGCGCTAAAGGGAGAAAGTGCTCGGAGAGTTATAATCCAGCATATCATAGCAGAGCTCGTTCAATAAGCAGGCTCTGCTTTGACGTCATCAAATGCAATTGAAGTTCGATGGGATTGTGAGTGTGAAAACCGCGAAGGCATGCGCCCTTTCTATTTGTCATGCGGAATGTAGCGACCTAGTTGGGCCCAAGCTAACCCCCTATTTTTCTTGACCTACGACTTTTCTTGCCATACCTTTGGAGGACAGTGCGTTGTGCTGCCACTGGATTGTGATGCTATCACCTGTCCGAAGCGTAGTAAACTTGATGCGTATGACTCTTAATTATAACTCGACGACAAGTATCCTGTGGTATCAACGTAGTTATATGCAACATCACTTAATTCTTTTACCCTTGAGCGTCTCAAATGGTAATGAAATATGCTGAAAGGACCGATTATGTCCTACTTGCTACACAACAGAGCCACTGATTAGGACAAGACCATTTATGCTCATACAGCAATTCTCGGATTAAGAACCCAAACCTTCAACATAATAAGTGGGCCCCACCCTTACTAGGGCTAGAGGCATAGCATCTCCGCGCCGTGGGCCTGTGCCATAACTCCGGGGCTGGGCTGCTATCGCGGGTCACGTGTAATTCTCGATGGCTGAAGCTTCTATATAACGGAAATAATAACATAGGCCCCTGCGAAATATACTATCCAAGATATATAAGGCAGCAACGAATAGAGCATATACGACCACATGGCATAGTAAGGAAGTAGTACGATGACGGCGTCAACAGTCACGTTCCGTGGAGATGTTAGGCAAAAATGTGCTCTCCGTTTTGGCCTAAGAGGCTCTTGTCGTAACGTCGAAAAGTCGGCTGGGTGGTTGTGCGTGGCGAGACCCAGTACTAACGATCAACAGGTATTTCCAATACTGAAAAGGTTGTGCGATTAAAACAGTAACAACAATTTTCGTAGTAGCGATTCTTCAAGGCACCCCAGCGGTTTAGAACTTGCGACCGCTTCCACTGTTGTGGTATACGACAGGATCGAGTACAATTTCAGTAAACTCACAAACTGGAAAAAAGATGGAAGATATATGAGGAAAGCGATAGCAATAATGGTGCGACTCCTTGGCTGAGCATGTTTCAAGACGTAGTATCGGTAAGCGAAGGAAAACAACAAGCTCCACATTCCATGCGTATAAAGATGCATCATGATTCCGAACCTGAGTAGAGAGATGCATCGCAGAGTTTAGAAATCATTTCCCTGAAACCAAAA